TTCATGAACCCACATATCATGGGAACACCTAGCAAGTAGCATGAATCTAGTATTAACTGAATAGCGAGTAAACCTATTTCGATTACAATTACATATATGTAAAATCCTTTCGACATCCAATTTCCCGATTAAATCTTGGGTATGATTAGTCGAAACCCAAATTGATTTAATAACTATGATTCTATTTCATGTTCAGTAATTCGCATACGAATCTCCATTCATCCCGCCTTGGCCAAGGACTTTGAATTACTAACTATGAAACACATAGGAAATTCACTTATCTTCATAAGTGTCGAATCCTTTGTTGGCCACTAACAAACTTCCATACATATTAACTTAATACCCAAAATATCCCTTTATACGATTGTGCTAGCAACCAAAAGGATAAATCAAAGTAGAATGTAATATGCACAAAATTACCATTGTGCCTCAAGTCTTAGGATTAATCATGTACTATTGTAACATAAAAATACTTATTCGACAAGACAAATCTTTCATTAAGTATTTTTATACGGTCATGTTCAGTGAACTTGTTCACTAACAAGCACTCACATATATGTACTAGTGTCCTACGCTAATGTTGATGGAATGCAACATTCTTGTCCAACAAGCATACATACAATGTGCAAGTCTTTTATGGATTATTCAATATCCCATCTCGAAACATCCATCGACTTGGAACTTTATTTAAGATCACAGCTTTCAAGATATGTTCCATGATTACCATCTCTATGCGCAACCATATCTTATAAGTAGAATACATCCAATTAAAACTGGAACGCTGGGTATACTACTCTAACAGCGAAAGGGTACACTCAGAAAGAAGGGATCCATTATGAGAAAACCTTTTCGCCGGTAGCCATGCTCAAATCTATCAGGATTCTCTTGGCTGTGGCCGCTCATATGGATTATAAGATTTGGCAAATGGATGTTAAGACCGCTTTCCTTAACAGGAATTTGGACGAGGACATCTATATGCAGCAACCAGAAGGATTCATTGCAAAGGGCCAAGAGCATCTGGTCTGCAAGCTGAAGAGGTCCATTTATGTGCTGAAGCAAGCTTCGAGGTCTTGGAGCATCCGTTTTGACGAGGTTGTCCAATCGTATGGATTTACCCAATGTCCGGATGAGCAATGTGTGTACAAGAAAAGTGATGGAAGCGTGGTGGTGTTTCTAGTGTTGTACGTGGATGATATTCTTCTCATTGGAAACAGTGTGAAAATGTTGTCAGACGTAAAGGTGTTGTTATCCAAGCAGTTTGATATGAAGGATTTGGGTGAAGTAGGACATGATCTCGGAATCAAGGTTATTCGTGACCGAGAGAAGAGAAAGTTGTGCTTATCCCAATCCATATACATAGACACTGTCCTAAAGCGTTTCAACATGCAGGATTCCAAGAAAGGGGATT